CTCCTTGAACCATAGACAACACTAGATTCTTTCTTGAAGGGTTTCTTCTCAGTGCTCGAGGAGGCCCCCTTTTGTATCTTTCCAGACTTGATACCAGCTTCTATCCTCTCACCAGTCAAGATAAGGTCTTTAAACCCGGCAGAAGAATTTCCAATCAAATGGTTGAAGAACGGACCAGACAGGGTCCCCAAGAACATATCCACAAGTTCACGGTCGGTTAGAGGTGGCTGCACCCTTCCAGCAAGGTCTCTCCACTTTTGAGCATACTCCTTAAATCCTTCACCCGTCCCTAGCGACATACCCTGGAGTTGGGTACGCGTAGGAGCGAGGTCGGAATTATACTGATACTGCTTATAGAATGCAGTAGCCAAATCCTCCCAGTTATGAATGCTGGCTCCATCCAGCTGATAGAACCATTCGAGTTGAGTCCCTGAAAGACTATCCTGGAAGAAATGGATCCACAAATTCTTGTCAGCTGTATAAGGTTGGATCTTCCTTACATACGACCGGAGGTGCAACTTTGGGCAGGAGGCTCTGTCGTATTTGGCAAAAGTAGGTGCCTTGAACTTATGGGGAATCACCACCCCAGAGGATAAGCCTAGATCTCCAAAGTCCAACCCGGGCACATTCTGTATCTCCATAGCACTTAAGCGGTCCTCCATCTGTTTGTACCTATCCTCAGCAGGAGGATACTGTTCATCATTATAATCTGTCTCGTTGTCGGAGACCACGGGACTAGGAACCCTTCTCTCTTGGGGACTGTCTTTCCCTACAGAGGAAGTAGTCAGATCAACCTCATTTTGCAGTCCATTCCCAAATATGCGTCCAGTGTTGAACAAGACGGTCCTCTTCTTCTTCTTCTTCAGAATCAGAGTTTTCAACTCCTGTTGACCCTGGGCTAGGCTCATAACCAACTTCTGGAACTGGGCATTCTGGGCCTGGAGGGCCTTGATAGCTTGTCCAGTAGTAGGTTCAGAAGACATGATGATTGCTGAAATAAACAGCGAAGAAGATAAGTGACCTGTAAAAAGGGTACCTGTTATGCATATGATGAAATGGAATGTGTATGATTTATGTTTTCAAAGACAATCGAGATTCAACTTTGTAGACAAAAAAGGAAACACACTTCATTAGATTCAACTTTGGAATTTAAATTGTTCAACAAATTGCCCTTAGGCGTTACATGAATGAAAATACTGAAAAGTAAACAAAAGAGCTGTAAAAGAAACACCCAAGGCCCATCAATGCTCCCATGGCCTCTTCTTCTCGGTACAGATATAGTCATTCAGGATCCGCTCGCTCTCCAATTGCTTCGTCAGCTTCTGGATCTTTTGTTCCTGTTCGTTGAACCTTTCCCGATAAGAATCCCGTTCTTCCCGCAGTTGCGCCCAAGACCTCTTCAGCGTGTCAACATCAGTGGGCATATGAGGACGGAGAACAGTTGGAGGAACCCCGTCTTTATCAACAATTTCAAGAGTAATAGGCCTGACAACTTCATATGGCATACCTAACTTCTGAGCACGGATGCGGACCCATCTGAAGTAGGATTCCATTGGTAGAGAAGTCTTTGGTCCCAACTCATGTGGGTCAGCTTTGTGAACTCTATCCCAATCCCGGATGAATCTACGACGCAACTCGTCACTATCTACCTGAAACTCAAAACTGATGTGAGGTATCAACATCTCATGAGGCCCTGCTCTTCTGGATCTTCCAAACTGACAGAGAGCTAAACACGGGTTATAAGATATTCCTCCCTGGGTTCCGATCAATGGAACATTAGGATACTCTCCGCAACGATCAATAACAGCCACCTCGTCCAAACCTCTGAGAGTCAAATAATATCATTATCAGTAAGAGACATTATCCTATGAGCCCATCCCCTTCCTTCTTTGTTTTTCAGTACGAACTTAGGGAGGTGCGAAATAAACCACCTCACCAATAAAGGAGCACAACACCACAAAGTTCCCCGTCTTCGGGCAGTACGAGCATAAAGTTGTTGCAGGATATCACCCAAGAGAGTGGGTACAGGGTTCCGAGAGATGAAGATCCTTATGGCGTTGACATTAACAAAGGTATCAGGATTTGGAAACAATACCAGACCATAGATTAAGAGAGCCAGAATGTCTTCGTACGCCCTGAAGTCTAAGTCATTCCAGAAACTATTAGCTTTGCCAACCAGAAACTTAGCCAAAAAGCCCTTAACTCCACTTCTAGTCTCCCAGTTAGCCATTACCTCTTCTTTGGTCAAGGGAAGGGCTGCAACAATCTCCTCAGGCCTAAGAGTCTTTTCCCAACTAGTGAATGGAGTTTGTTCCAAAACAGGGATACCAAGCAAATCAGAGAATTCTTCCAGGGTAGGGACCAGCTGGAAGTCTTGAAAGGTGAAGCAATGGTATAGAGGATCATAAAACTGGGCCAGGAAACTCATCAATTGTTGGTCCCACTTTGAAGTGACTAAACCGAGAAGAGAACCATGCCTCTTGATGAAGGAAGTAGTGTTTGGAATCCTATCAACCAATTCTGTAAGCAGAGCAGGTGGTTGAACAAAGTTGAGCCAGATAGTATTCCTTCGCACGGGCATCATGATGTCCTACAAAACAGAGCAAAGATGAAACCCTCTTGTCTTTGAAATGGGTCAGTCCTTATGCAGGATGCATGCAATGGTATGATGTTATGATGTCATGATAAAGGCACACCACAAGTATTCACAAAAGGCAAACATGGTAAGGCATACAAGTCACACAAGAGCCCTTAGATTTCAGGCCAACATGAAGTTTAGGTACTACCCTCTTTCAGTTTCAGTTGGTTAAGACCTGTCCTAGAAAATAGTAACCGGGTTCTAGAGTATCTCAATATCACTGACTACCCTCAATCGGCCATAACTCCAGCTTAGCAACCTTTTCTTGCAGCCGGAACCATCGCGAGAGTTTAGCCTCAATGAGCGTAGCATACTGCTACTGTTCTATGGCCAAGTTGGTCAATTTAAGGTTCTAAGGTCAGTTGGTGCTTAATGACTCCTTAGAAGACCCATATTCTCCTCGTTCCAACACAAGGGATATCGATACAGACTAAGGTGCCACACCAACGTAGCTACTGCTTCATCCGTGTCGATCTATACCGGACAGATCCCTCACAGTTTATTGCTACTTACCTAAAGGGTATCCCCAGATCCGGGTTAGGATCTATAGAACTCTGATACAAGCCCACAAAATTTAAAGCATACAAAGCATACAATTGAAAACATAGTGATCTAATCCTAAGGTACACCTCACTTATAAATAGTCCCCAGCAGAGTCGCCAGTTCTGTGATCGGTGGAAATATAACTGACTGTTTTGGAATGCTGGTTCGCGAAATGTCACGGTAAGCAAGAGTCGCCACCGTCTTTTATGTTCTCCAACAAGGAAAGGACAAAAGCACAACAAAATTCCTTTTCGAGATGTTTCTCGGGTTCGAGAGGTAGATTATAGAAAGGGAAGGTATTAGCACCCTTTCTATCCGTGGTTATCCACGGGCTCTTAGGTACTTGCTCACTATGTTTTCAAAAATGTTTTGCTTTTCTTGTGTTTGTGGGTTTTGAAAAAAAAGTTTGTTTTGAAAACTTCGATTTAGCTCTTGTATCTGTCCTCAAGAGTGTATGAAGTGTTGTTTGAAAACTTTTGTCAGAAAAGTGTAGGTGCGAAAAGTATTTTTGTTTTGAAAGAGCAAGTATCTAAGAACCTCTACCTACTCAAAAGAAATTAAGCTGTGTAGATGTCCTTTAAACAGTACTATCCCACTATTGAGAAGTAGGTAGCACCGTTGTTGGAGTTTTCGGGTCAATTCGATTATAGGGACATGTGATCACCAAAGCAATAGTAGGACGCCTTAGTGGTCACCCTAATGTCTTAGATCGTTTTATCTGAGGCAACCGTTTCGAGGCAACTTGGATCTTTAGACACGAGGGCGACCTCTAAAACACCCTATACTCAATGACCACGTCGAGGCAACCAAGTGAGGCGTACCCTAGGATTGGCATGTGCGAGTGTGTCAGGTTTCATGTTAAGTTATCTTTGCACATTTTATGGTGAGCTACGGGTTGATTTTAATTTCAGAGATAAGTCTTGTCATGCATAGCCTAATTAACATACATCTAACAGTTAATAGTTTGCAGAAAGTAAATTGCGGAAAGTAAAGCTACGCTATTACAAGGCGTCGGGTATTTACATCGCCAAAAACAAACCCTTTGAAAAAGTAAATCACTACAAGAAAAATGATAGATTGGGACGGTTATTTTGGCTGATTACGACGGTTAAAACCGTCGCAATTTACAATCTACGACGGTAGAAGTACCGTCGCAGAATCGTGCGTCCCCAGCCTATTTCGCGACGGTTGCAAAAACTGTCACGCACAACAGATAGCGACGGTTATATACCGTCGTGAATTTGACTTTATTTTTTGTTTTTGTTGTTGTTTGCGACGGTTATATACCGTCGTGAATTTGACTTTATTTTTTGTTGTTGTTGTTTGCGACGGTTATATACTGTCGTGAATTTGACTTTAACCGTCGTAATCTGATTTATAAATTTCAAATAATATTTTTATTTAAATTATTATTTAGTAAAATAATTTTAAATATAATATTATTTTACTATTATATTTCAATTATTATTTACTTTAATATTTTTTTATTTATAGTATTTTTATTTTATTTTCTATCACTTTTCAACATTGTTTTGAAATGAGCAATCCAATTGTTTTGAAATATTTACTAACTCAGTATTATTAATTCAGTTGGGAAACCATTTGTAAAATAATGCAAGGAGACATTGCTTTTGCTATTGAAGCGTGAGATTTCCGTGAGATACCAGTACTTATTATTGGGAGAAAAGATTTATGAATTATTGCACATTGTAATATGCTTATACCACCTTATAACTTTGCTACAAGTTACCTATAACAAGTGAGATTTTCCGATTTTCAGGAACTATAACAAAAAGAGGTTAGCTCCGAAATCTCTTGATCATTTTGCAATCTTTGCATCCATTTCTCTGACCAACTTAGCAGCTACCATAGCAGTCATTCCATCAACAGTATCGCGTTGTGGGTTGAGTTCAACGACGTCTCCAGCAACAACATCACCTTGAAGATTGTGTAGGATGTTAAGAACATCGCGGAAAGAAAGACCTCCCGGTTCAATATGAGACACTCCCGGAGCAAATTTTGTTTTCAAATACAAAAATAGTTGCATCATGCGTGAGAGAATAGAAATATCGACCTTGACAGCACTAGCAACATTTCTTCCCTGAGGCCTAAATCCACCTAAAACACTAATGGCCTGTGGTGTAAGACCAACATGCCCAATCACAGCTATTCCAGCTTCGACAATAGCTTTTGCTGCAACAATTCTTGAAGGTGAACCTCCTTCCAATTTTATGGCATCCATTCGTCCTTCTTTCAAAATCCGAACTGCCGTATCAACTGCCTGCTTGTAATCAAAACAACAACACTTAAAAACCACTTGGTATGGTTAGAAAGTTAAAACAGTTAAACAAATATACACCCCAAGATTATAAATTCCAATCAATTCCTTTCTACATTTCATTTCCAACTAACAACAATCAAACATGTCCCATTTCAAGTCATTGAAAAATACCAAGCTTAACAACCTAAAGGACCTGTGTGGGGTGGTGGAAACTGGAAATCAAAACCCTTGCTACAGCAAAAAAAATTCTATTTTCACCACTTTCCCATCAACCAAAAACTTAACAAAGATAAAAAATTCAATCTTTAAAAAACAAAGAAACAAAAAAAAAATTATATACCTGTTTAGAACTACACTCATACGTTCCAAAAGGCAAATCCCCAACAAGAAGAGGAGTCTTAGCCCCACGAGCAACGGCACGACAATGAACAAGCATTTCATCCAAAGTAATAGGCAAAGTAGTATCATGACCATGAACAACCATGGAAGCAGAATCACCCACAAGACAGATATCAATGGCGGCCATATCGAGGTGAACAGTAGAAGGGTAATCATAAGCAGTGACCATAGTAATGGGTTGTGAGTTTTTATGTTTCTGTCGGAGTTGTGAAAGTGTGACCCTTTGGGTTTGAGGGGTTGGGCCTGAATAGACGGTGTTTTCTGGGAGGTTGCTCATGAGACGGAGGTGGGTTAGAAGAGAAGATGGTTGAGGGAGGGTGGTTGTTCGGAGGATTGATCTTATCTTTGATTTTGAATCCAAGATATGAAATAGTGGAGTCAATTGAGGTTTCTTTATGATATTTTACTTTTGCTTGTGCACGTCCTTCAGCTGTTATTGATCGAATACCAACCTGAAATGTATTAAAAAGCATTGTTTTGGCAAAAGGTTACAGTTTGTAGTTTCAACAAAATCACGGCGCCACCTTGATTTTATACTTATCAACAATAAAAGATTACCTGCAAGAGTCGCCGAACATAGTCACCCTCCATGACACGAGCAAAGGAAGAAGCATGCGAATAAATGTTCCCTTCAAATGCATCATAGTTGTCAGGATGCGCATCAATATGAAGAACATCAACTGGTCCTCCAAGCTTCTCCGAGACAGCTCTAATAACTGGAAATGATATTGAGTGATCACCACCTAAAACTAAGGGTCTTAGAGGAGCCTGAAAGAATATAAACAACACGAGGATCAAGCAAGTTCGAACAGAAAGTTATCTGCAAAATGTTATAGCATTTCACATGATAGTGGAGTGAATGCTAAGAAACAATATATGAGGATGATAAAGGTGTACTTTTTTAATTCAAAATCATAAATTGACAAATTTACCTCTTCCATCACTAACTTGACAGATTCGCCAATGACACTCATCAATCTTTTATCATCTACGCCACAATCTCGAATTTCTTGAATAGGGACGTCACCGACATCAGTTAGCACTCGTGAGTATTTTAAATCCTTACCTGCAAAATCAAAATAGTATTGTTACTACAAGCTTATGATTATCATATATAACTATAGGGTTGATACAAGAAGCACGACGGCACTGAAAACTGAGATTGCAGTTAAAAACCAGTATTTTCTGCGAACCACGATTGACAGCACTGAAATAGAATACTGATGAACAGACATTGTTACAGCAATCTGTGTTATTATCAAGTCATTATAGAGCACAATTTTAGCCTATATCTCTTGAATGCAAAGGTGTTTAATAAATTAAAACTTAATCTAGATTTATAGAATATTAGATAATTACACAATAGTTAAGGCAAGAAAAATAAACACAAATCAAGTATGTTAAGCTTAAGAAAGAAAAACAGCAATTTGATAACAAGCTTTCTAGAGCATCAAGGAAACTAAATTCATTAACTGATCATTAATACGAAACACTGAATAAGCATATATAAGACACAGACGCCAATCTCAGACCTGATACACAACTAAAATATGAATGAAATAAGCTGAAATGAAATAAAATGACATAATAATACTGATGATAATCCGAGTAAAATTAAATAATTACCTAAAATATGTGTGTGCACCTTTGAGGGTGCTTCTAGACTAGACAAGACCCAAAATAGAACAAAGATTTATACAAAGAACAGGCAAACCTACATAGTAGATACTAGATATCAATCCAAAGACACAGAAAGGGATCTATATATGTTAGTAGAAGAAGTCCAACTCCTGTCACTCCCTACAGATTTATTGATTAGGTAGCCAATTCTTTTTGTATATATTCATGTGCAACCAATGATACAGTGGTACAGAATTATATTATTTTTAGTTACTACTCATACAAATGTACATATACATAGTACTCCTTCGTGTCAAAAATCAATTAGGATACACAATGAAACCCATCTAGAGGGATGATTACTATATCCTTGGGGATGTCTAAGCTAACGCGGATATTTAAAATTCAACACACAATCAATACCACTAATTCAAGTCTAGAGAATGAAGATCGGGAAATAGAAACCAAACTAGAGACAGATATTCATGCAATTGTAAGGCAAAAAGATGCATTGAACACAAATCTAATCTTATTCTAATCAATTTAAAAAGTATGTCACCTCTTGACCAAAAATTGTATCGTGGTTCCAACCTTTATCACATGTCGCTTGTGAGAGTTACTCGCATACACTTCTTGCCCGTGTTTCTACAAAAACAAAAACCACATATCACCGCTACAGAACACTTATACCCCATAACTTGCAATTATTTATTTACCTAGAATAGTTGTACCATAAAATCATCTGGCATATAAATATATTTATGATCTTAATTAACTAATAAAAATCATTTGATGTCAATACTAGATAAGACACTCTTTTTACATTTATTAGAATGTTATTATAAAAAATCACCAAAGAACACAAACGCATAGTTACAAGACCTGGATTATTTACATCATTCTGTGGCCAGTTATCATCATGAGGATGCTGATCTCAAAGAGGAAGAGTAGGAGGTGTATGCAAAGAGGCAAGTCAGGTGAACTATTAATAGTAGTCTCTTGATCAACAATCTGATCTCCCCTCTGATGCTCGAGGTTCTGTTCTACTAAAGCAGCAGAAGAGGTTTCTTCTTCCATATCCCACTCCATGTTAGCATGACCTTGCCTTATACATAAGATTGTATCAATTGGTCAAGACTCTCACAGAAACTACTTCCGAGAATATTAGAGACGCGTCTCCTGCAAGATGAACAAAGCCATTTATTCTGTATACATCTTTTACTTTAAAATGATAGGTGCAGAAACTCATATCCCGTTTTTACATACCTACTGTGAAGTTTCTGGTTATCTGATACATCATCGCAACACTCAATCTTAAATCCAACACAAATCAGTTTGTGAATATTTGGCACCACATACATCACAACCCTCATGTCAACCATTGTTATCTGAAATGTTTTGAATCCTCATTGGATGAGCAACACATACATTACAATAGACAACATTGCATACTTATTTTAAGGATCACGAATATATAAATAAAATAGCATTAGCATTTGTACCATTTTTGCCAATGCATCACTTTATGTTTTGGTATGCTGGGAGTTGAATCGCTACATGACTTTCGCCAGCTAATGACGGCACAATGCCACTGCATCAAGTTAAATATAAGCGCATCATAAGTTGTGTAGTGTACCTTTGATTGGTGGAAGATGGTTTAGAAGTTGCTACCTACTTTTTCTACATCAAGAAACAAATGGAACAGTTGGTGAAATTTAACCCATTATGCCCAATGTCAATTGCTAGCATTGAAACACAATAATTATAATTGAGAATACTCATCGCCAATCGCTCCTTATAATCTGCATGTAAAATAATATATAACCACCAAAACATTCCTGGGAGAAGCTCACCATTTTATACACAAACTCTGCCCTGATATCTTTCTCCGTTATAATCGCAGAAGCAAATCCAAGCACAACAACATGAATAGACTCATGTGTAAGTTTCACTACCTTTCCTTCTGGAAAAAAAAAACACAAACCCTATTAATTAATAAAACTATCCTAAAAAAATTGAACTATCACAATTTGTTAATTTTTGTTAAAACAATAGACCGAAATGAAAGAATACAAGTAGCATTAACAAATGAAATTTAACAATACCTAAAAGCATATCTGGCTTGGGAGAAAAAAGCAACAGATTAAGCTTCAAATTAACACCAAAATAAGGATAAACTCCAGGAAGGATCTTGGCGCATTTGTCAAACGAGTAAACATCGTAAGCCAAAACGACGCCGTCGAAGATCTCGTCGTACCTGCAAAGAGACGCAAGAAAAACAAAATAAACATAAGAGTGACGTTGATTATGATGTTTGGCAGTGAAGACAAAACGCAAGGGCACTGCGCGAAATATAAGTTATTGGATGACGACGGTGGGACTCTGTCGTGGATGTTTTGTAATTGTAGGCGACGGTATTTTCACCGTCGTGGTCTTTGATGATTTTTAAATAATTTTTTTCAAGTAATTAATTAGATTTTTTTCATGCGGCGGTTAATATTGATGGGTGTGAAAATTTATTTTGTTGGTAATTTATTTTATTATTATTATTATTATTATTATTATTATTATTATTATTATTATTATTATTAATAAAAGAGAAAAAGAAGGGGAAATGAAAGAAAAAAAGTGGGAAAGTAAAAGAATAAAAAAAAGTAGCGATTATGATTGGCTAATGTAGTTACGACAGTTCACCTAATTGTCGCGGATGTGAAAAGAGGGTGGTTTTTTGGTAACTGTCGCAATTATGTTACTCATAATGCTTGAAAATCTACGACGGTTGAGCCTAACCGTCGTGACAACTGTCGCAATTCAGGAATAAGGACGGTTTTGTGGGAACTGTCGCAATTTATGTGTCGTAAATCTCTTTTTTTCTTGTAGTGAATTGCGGGAAATTAAATAAAAGCGATAAAAAGTCCTAATTAAAGCTATTACATCCTTGGAGCAATTACATAATAATGGTCAAAAATAATATGCACGGATAAAAATTGAAACGGAGAAGTCCTTAGGGTTTTGACCCTTTTTGAGAAAGAAAGAAATTGAATTAAATTAAATTAGACCTAATTAATTAATAAAATAAAAAAGATGTTTTTGGTTTTTATGTGTTAAGGAAAATAAATAAAAAATAGTCAAAAGTTAGTAAAAAACCCTAATTCTAATTTATTTTATTTATTGCAAAAAATATTGAAATTAACCTAATTAACAAAAGACTAAATTAATTTGTTAGTATTTATTTACAAAAATAATAAATTAAAAGTGAAATTAATAAATAATAATAATAATAATAAAAATATTTTAGTTTTCTGAATTTATTATGAAAATAAAGATAATTTGGTTAATTAAATAATAATAATAATAATTAATAATAAAATAATCAAATGGAAAATATAATAATAAAAAAGAAAGAATGAACCCAGGGGGTGTTGGCCCAATTAGGAGGTGCATTGGCAATTTCTAGGCCCATTAAGCTGCAAGCCTGTTGGACTTTTTTGATTCTCCATGGCGCGTGTTGACTGGGAGTATGATGGTCTTCCACTTATGACCACTAGATTTATGCCTAAAGCCACATGGCGCATGGATATGTGAAGCACATGGTGGACATTATTTTGGAATCTGCATGTGAATATGTTAGGAAAAATAGAAACAAATATTTTGGGGGACCTGGGATTCGAACCCAGGTCCTAATGGTCATATGCACGCGTCCCTGCCACTCAGCCAAGTTGTTTCAATTGATACTAAAATAAAGAGCAATGACTATATGTGAAAATAAACCATATGCTGGAATTATAACAAAAACGCGCGCTTTTTTCAAACGAGCCAATAGGACATCAACGCGTCATCGTCTTCTTCATTTGTTCCTGCAAAATATAAACAGATAGCGGGGGTTTTTAACCCCCACAAACTACAGTGGCGAAAAATAGCGAATAGAACTGTGGTTTATGTAAATGTTTCACGAGGGTTTGGTCAGGTTCGTCTGGATCTCATGATCTCAACCATATGTCTTAGGAGTCCTAATTTTGCCTGGATTGTAAAGCCCCAAATTCAGAGCTTAAGAACCCTATAAATTGATCATGGCAAATTTTGATTTATAGCGTTTCAGTTTAATTAAACCATACCAATAGCTTCGTATGATTCCTATTAACACAAAACCATCAAGAAAATATGTTAAATGCACATGAATTGAGAGTTACGATTCTGAAAAAAAGAGCCAAACCGTGAAACTGTAATGGATGATTCCTTGAGATTTGGTATTGGAATTTGATTGTAAATCGTTCCTGAGAACTCCTGCAAGGTATTAGAATCAATAAAATGCCTTGAATTTACCTGGAACATGAAAATCAGTTTTGAGTTTTTCTTGAAATTTCTCAATATGGCCATGGTCTTTCTGCAGCTTTTTTCACGTCCATGAGACTAGGATTTCTTGCATATATATAGAGGAATGGAATTAGGTCAAAATCTTGAGCAAGAATCCATTGCAATGATGATTGAATATTTGGTTGAAAATCAAATCTTTTTGCATTTTCATGATTGAACAAAGTTGCCAATTTTGGAGATTTTGCATCTTTGACTTGGTGCACGAAATTGCCAGCATATCATGACCATATTTGCTTCACAAAAAGATTGAAAAATCAAATCTTGCATTTTCCTACAATTTAAATTAATTAAATGAATTAATATTAATTAAAAATACAATTAATTAATAAAAAATAAGAAAATAAATTCAATTAAGCTTGATGGGTCGTGCATAGGCCATGGATGAAGTTTCAAGAAGAGATTTGAGGCCCATTAGCAAAAATAAGGTGTTTTGAGCAAAGTTGACTTTTGCAAATTCATGAAAATTTCCCAACTTCTCCAATGCACATCTTGCTCAATTTTGATCATATGAACACGTTCTTGGATATTTTGGAAAGGTCTTGAAGTCCTATAACCAATGCCTTTGGTCCCATGTCATTTGGATTTACCAATCTCAAGTTATGGACTTTGACTTAAAGTGTACATTTGTTGACTTTTGAAATTGACCTATAATGTAGAAATTGATAACTTTTTGTGAGAGTATTTCTTGGACTTGGAGTGTGAAGAGGGATTGTAGGAGATGTCATCCTCTTAAAAATGAGCATTTGATGGAATTTTTATGATGAACCATGAAAAAGTTATGCCCTGGTCAAGATACAATTGACTTTTTCTATTGTCCAAAAATAGTAACTTTTGCATCCTTGATGATTTTTGAGCCATTCTTGTGGAATCATGATCAAGACTTGATCAAATGATGACTGTGGACTCAAAATAAGATGTTGACCAAAAATTCTGATTTTTGACTGTAAAATGACCATTTTGCCCTTGTAGTTGACTGTAGGTCAAATGAGGCTTTTGACTGTGCAAATTGGCATTGTGAATCTTGAAACTTGGCATGTAGATGCTTGAGGATGTATATGGGCCTATGAGACTTGATTGAACCATTGAAAACCCCAAATTCCTTGAAAGAACCAAAACCCTAATTTCAGCTGTCTCAGGAGGTGATTTGACTGTCTACCTCTTGAGCCATCTTGAGTAATTTGAAGATCATTATTGACAAATCTTGAAGAATATGGGAGGGCAAATTTTGGGGGTACAACAGTTAGTATACAAATAATAATATAATTATAAGCAATAAACAATATTTACATAGCAAATAAAATATAAGAATAGTAAATAGAAAATAAAATTATAATATAATTATGATATAATAATAATAAAAATAAATATTGATAATAATAATAATTATTATATATATATATATATATATATATATATATATATATATATATATATATATATATATATATATATATATATATATATATATATATATATATATATATATATATATATATATATATATATATATATATATATATATATATATATATATATATATATATATATATATATATATATATATATATATATATATATATATATATATATATATATATATATATATATATATATATATATATATATATATATATATATATATATATATATATATATATATATATATATATATATATATATATATATATATATATATATATATA